GTTAAATGGCAGCACCTGCATCTAAGCAAAACATGTCATCTCAAAACGTTCCATTCGAAGACTGTAACTCATCCCCAAAGGTTATCAATTATTCTTCATTCCTTTCTCTTCAACCAGACAACTACTGTGTTTGAATGCTTTAAGCAAGCAAGCAAACTAAGGCTTAAACACTTGTCCTTTACAGAGGCCTGTATTGAGACGCAGGCTTCCATGGCAGTCCATGTCCACTTCCTAACCAGCTTCCTACTGATGTGCCTGGGCCCCTGCCACCTGTGAGGGAGACTCAGAAAGAGGTCCCAGCTTCTGGCTTTTGCCTGGCTCAGCCCTGGTTGTTGCAGGCATTTGGAGAGTGAACCAGGAGATAGACGATCTCTGTCTTTCAAATAATGAATAAATGATGAATAGAATAAATCTATAAATCTTTCCAAAAAATTTTGTCCTTTACCATATTTTCCTAACTTGACATGACAAACTGCTGTCTTTCCATGCAGAACAATTAAAAAAAAAAAGAAAGAAAGAAAGAAAAAGAAAAGAAGGAACAAAATAAGCCATGTACTAATAGCACTAAACAAACCTGTCCCAGAGGGTTTATTCCTAGTCAATTTCTAACAACTTCAACAGCTGCTCAACTTGGCACAGCATTAGTTGGTGCCTCTACCTGGTCCCTAAATCCTCACTCTCAGGACATTCGCAGATAAAACCATAAACAAAAGCCAAAATCTAATAATCAGTAAATCAAGGCAGAAAAAAAAAACACAACTAAAGGCCCTGAAATCCTTTTTACTGCGACACTCCTCTGTCTACTATAATCCGTTTACCAGCCCACTGAAACCCAGAAACACCTGCATGTGAGAAGTGCGGCATTCTGGTCCTAAAGAAAACCAACGTCACATCAAAAACACTCTCATGGCATCTTCAGTAGCTGCCACTGAACACACTAAAATCTAAGCACCCTTACAGACAACAGGCCCACCATTTCTTCCATTCCTGTGGATCCTCTCCCCTCTGGTGGCCCTGAAGGTCATTTTTGAGAACATTTAGCAATTAAATGGCATCCACCAAGTGGTGATGGTAGCCTAAGCTTGTGATGTACTAAACGAACCATCTTTCTCTAGAGCCCAGGTCCCCTGGGGCAGCACTGTGGCACCAGCACTCTGTGGGTCCCGGCGCTCCACCTCTATCCAGCCCCACCGATGGCCTCAGTGCTTCGGTCCGTGCACTCACGTGGGAGACCTGGAAGAAGCTCCAGGCTCCTGGCTTCGGCCTGGCCCAGGATGGCAGTTGCAACCATTTTGGGAGTGAACCGGCAAATCTAAGATTTCTCTCTCTCTGCTTCTCCCTCTAACTCTGCCTTTCAAATAAACAAAATAAATCTTAAAAATAAAATAAAATTCAAGTTCCAGAATATGTGACATTCTGGAGACAACTCCACCTCTGAGGAACCACTTTAGACGGATGGTTTTAATCGATACTCATTCCTGAAAGGCACTGAGGGTGGGATGGTGCAAAAACAAAGCAAAGCAAAACACGATACCATTATTTTAGAAGCTCTGGCTGCTCTCAAAGTCCAAGGAGCTATGACCTTCTAACATTGCCAAACTCTTTTCTCATCTAACAATACAACAGACTGAATACGGGCAAACTGGAACTGAAGCACATTCTGGTCCCAAAGGACACGGCAGGTTAAGCTACGGCTCAGATCATCAGCATCCCCTAGGAAGAGTGCCAGTTCACGTCCTGGCTGCTCTGTTTCTGATCCAGTTTCCTGGTAATACGCCTCAGAAGGCAGCAGATGAAGGTCCAAGTACTTGAGTCCCTGCCAGCCACATGGGAGACCCAGACGGAGTTCCGGGCCTTGGCCAGGCCCAGATCTGGTCATCACAGGCATTTGAGTGAACCAGCAGATGGAAGAGCCCTCTTTCTCTGTCTCTCCCTCTCAATTATCCTGCCTTTCAAATACAATAAATAAATCTTAAACAAAACAAAACGAATCATATACATAAAATAGACCCAGAGAAAAAGGTTTAAAAAAAAAGTACATTCTATCAGATAAAACCTTTTTTCTGTAACTCATTAAGCCTTGTCTTCTACATTTTCCCCTCATCTGGGGGCTCCTAATTTACTTGGCTCTGTAGAGAATTGCACTTAAATGAATTACACTTAAATGAGTTCTACTTAATCACTTTTGGGAAACCTACATCATTAAAATTTGAGAGATCCAAGGTCAACAGCAAACTTCCGGTTCTGACACTGGATGGCTACAGGGAGGCGTGAGCCCCCGCCTCCAGGGAAGGTGAGTGACACTCTGCACAACAGCATCTTCCCGCACGGGTTGCTCAAGGCAGCACTGTGTTTCAGAAAGAGGAAAAACAAACAGAGCGGCCTGTTTTCAGGAGCTGTGACAGACGCTCGCCCCGGGCAGGCACACTTGAACAGCTATTCTGGAGCTCTGACCTCTGGGCTCCTCCTGCAGCTGTTGTTTAAAACCATCACCACCAACTGCAGCTACCGCTGCACAGTAAGAAGCCAACAGGCTGCCCTCAGTCCATTCCTCCAGTGTAAACACAACCACCACCCTGCAAACTCGGATTTCTGCTCTGCAGACTCAATCTAGGTGCCATTTCCGATTCTTCCCCTGCTTTTCCAAGCACCATTCTCTGATGCTGGGATTTTATGGACCTGAATGGTCTAAACATGCAAGCTAGCAGTTCTACAAAACTCCAATTTTTTAGAAAAGCTGTTCCTTTCCAAACAGACACCCTACACAGGACGATGCTCTTAACACCAGCTGGCATTCTGTAGTGCAGTCAGCAAAGTCAGGAACAGCAAAATAGGTTCTGATGAATACAAAGAAATAAAAAGTGGATCCTAAGGGACTTGGCTTAGCGCCAACCAGACCCTACACAGTCTCCCATCTGCAGCTTCTCGCAGGGTCAGTCAGGACAGGATCACGTGGAACAGCACAGGTGATCAGATACTGGGAAGAGGAAAGCCTCCAGGTAAGAGGTGGTGCCGTCACTCGACAGCGAGCACGGCAGACCCTCGCTCTGGAAGGGCTGTCCCTGGATGGCTTGGCTGATGGCTACAGAGGCTGTCAGAGTCCCAAGTCTAGTCTCAGATGCTCCTGGCTACAGAGTGAGGGCAGCAGGCGGCCAGCAAAGAAAACGGCTGGACAAATGCAGCCTGCAAGGTGAGAGTGGGGCGCAGGCCCTTTCAGGAGCTGGCAAGTGAAGCAGTCAAAGTAGCCTAAAGTCTGCACGGAACAAAGAAATGCACGCTAAGCTTCCTTGTTCAGAAGGAAAACGTCAACCGCCTACAAAGGTACAAGAAATATTCAGAATATTCACCAATAAAAGAACCAACCGCTGCTCACAGCCGTCCTTTATCAGTCTCGACCCTTCACCTCTGAGAGCAAGCTGCGGCAGACACCAAGCCCCCACTCCACGGCACATTTCTGATAGCGGCCTGAGAAGTAGGCCAAGCCTGCGCCCCAGCCCCCAGCCCCATCGTGGGAGGACAGTCCCCCTTTCCCTTCTCCCACGAGGCCGACACCAAGTTCCTACAAGAAGCACCACTACGGGGAGCCTCATCCACTCATCTGCTACTAAACCAGTCCCTGACGGCTAGCTACCGCCCATTAAACACAGGGAGCTTATTTTTAAAGACTTGATTCACAGGAAACCAAGCAGGTCCACTAGCCAGGGCAAGCACGCAGTTGTAACACAAGCTCAAGTGTCCCAAGACTGGACCAGGCACCCTGAGTCAAGTCAACGATGTCTAAGGCCAGGAAACGCCGGACCTGCCGCTGAGCGACAAGGCCCAGGTCCCACGCGAGACAGACACCGACGACCGCGGCTTCCTGCCACCCCCTAGTACGAAGGCCCGACCTGCGCGAAGCATATACCAGGCGAGGCGCGGGGACCTCTGTGCGGGGAGGCAGGAGAGGTGCGGGGAGGCAGGGAAGGCCCGGGGACCTCTGTGCGGGGAGGCAGGAGAGGTGCGGGGAGGCAGGCGAGGCGCGGGGACCTCTGTGCGGGTGGCAGGCGAGGCGCGGGGACCTCTGTGCGGGGAGGCAGGGAGGCCCGGGGACCTCTGTGCGGGGAGACAGGAGAGGTGCGGGGACCTCTGTGCGGGGAGGCAGGGGAGGTGCGGGGACCTCTGTGCGGGGAGGCAGGGAGGCCCGGGGACCTCTGTGCGGGGAGACAGGAGAGGTGCGGGGACCTCTGTGCGGGGAGGCAGGAGAGGCGCGGGGAGGCAGGCGAGGCGCGGGGACCTCTGTCCGTGGGGGCAGGCGAGGCGCGGGGACCTCTGTGCGGGGAGGCAGGGGAGGCCCGGGGACCTCTGTGCGGGGAGGCAGGCGAGGCCCGGGGACCTCTGTGCGGGGAGGCAGGAGAGGCCCGGGGACCTCTGTCCGCGGGGGCAGGCGAGGCGCGGGGACCTCTGTGCGGGGGCAGGCGAGGCGCGGGGACCTCTGTGCGGGGGCAGGCGAGGCGCGGGGACCTCTGTGCGGGGAGGCAGGCGAGGCCCGGGACCTCTGTGCGGGGAGGCAGGGGAGGCCCGGGGACCTCCGTCCGCCGAGGCAGGTTCCTGGCCGCGGCCGGACTGCAATGCATCCTGGGACTGCTTCGGGCCGGCTCGGGCCGCGGAGGTGCGAAGCCTAATTACAGCCAAGAGCAGCTCCCCGGGCTGGGCCTCCCCTGCTCTCGGACCCCAGCGCCCCCCGCACCGGCTCCTGGCTCCCGTCTGAACTCACTTCTGGGCCTCTTGGCATTGACCCGACGCGGCCCAACCCCGTCCCATATGGTTCCCGTCGCAAGGGGGACGGCAGGGCTCGGCCCCGCGGGTCTTCCCCAGCGCGCTGCCTGCCCCCTCCCTGTCCGGCCCGAGGCCGCCCCACCCCGGCCGGCCGGCGCCGCGCCGCTGTCAGCGCCCCACGTGCCGCCGGGGACCTCAGGCCGCCTCCCCGCGGCCCAGGGCTGCCCCGCCGCCCGGCCCTTTACCCGAAGGGCCTCCCGCGACGCTGCCCGCTCCGTGGTTGTTGCCGGCGGCGCCAGCCGGGGCTGGCGGCGGCGGGGCCGGGCCCCGCAGGAAAGACGGTACGAACTCCGCGGCGTGGACGTTGGGCACGAAAGGTTTGGCGTTGACGTTGAGCTGCCGGCTGAAGGCCGCGCTGAGGTGGTCACGCTGGGCCTCGGCCGCCGCCGCCGCCGCCAGGGACCCGCCGCTGCCGCCGCACGGGCCGGGCCCGGGGGCTTCCATGTCCGCCTGATCCCAGCAGTCGGGCGCCGAGTCGCTGCTGCTGCTGCTCCCGCCGCCGCCGCCGCCACCGCCGCCGCCGCCGCTGCCCGGATCCATGATCGGGGGGGCCGTGTGTATGGCGAAGAGAGGGCGGGAAATGGAGGCGGGGGCGACCGCCCGGGGAGGAGCAGGTCGCGCTGACCCAGGCGAGACGGCGAGGCAGAAGGCCCAGGAACTAGCGACACAATTCCCGGCGTCGCCGCGGTAGCAGCCCCAGTCCCGACTCCGCACTCGCGGCGACGACGACGGCGGCGGCGGCTCAACCCTCCTCGTGTGTGCGAGCGGATCTCCTCCCACCCAACACCAACCACCTCCGACTGCCTCTCCGCCAACCCCACGCCCGGCACGATTGACCCCTAGCCGCCACCCGTATTTCCGCCTTGGTAGTTCTCGACCCTGGCCAGCCCCGTTTCCGGCTATGAAGCGCGGAAGCAGATGGGACTACAAGTTCCGGCAGCACCCGCGCAACACCGCTGCGGTTTTCCTGGGGACCGACGGGAGACGGCGTTCAGGGGCCGGGCGCAACCGGAAGCGGCTCGGGCTCCCGGCAGGCAGCGCGAGGGGGCGGAGGCTTGGTGGCCGCTTGGCTTCTCCACCTGTCAGCGGCTGGGGGGCAGGGGCAGGCCGTGGCGGAACCGTGGCGTGGGCAGAGGCCGGAGAGTGTTTTAGCCCACGGAGGAGTATTCTCCGGCCTGTTAGGTACTGGCTGCCTGAGACCGGACAGCGGATCCGCTGTGGGGGAGGGGCAAGAACTCTGAACTCTGGCAGAGCGCTTCCGTGTCGCCTTTTTCTGGAAGCCCTGCCCGCGGAGTCTCCCTACCTCGTTCCCGTTCCTCCTTCATCCTCCCCGCCCCCGCGCAGCGTTCGCCCTACGTTTCAAAGCCCACGCAGAGCGTCTTTCCTTTCATGCGCTCGTTTGGGAGCAGAGACAATAAAACGGTGCGATGTGCCGACTCGGACGGCGACGTGGCTCCCGCAGGGCCGGGGCCCAGGCGGTGCCCGGCGCGAGCGGTTGTTAGCTGGGATCCCTGGGTGACTCACTGTCTGACTCGTCTCTTAGCGTCCTCACCCGGTTCTCCCGTCGCTGCCCAGGGGCTCGCCGGGGCCCGCGATGCAGGGCGACCTCCCGTGCGCCATTAGGGGAGGTGACGTCCCGTTCCACGGCCCCATTCGCGCAGGTATCCCCCGCGCCCCCGCGCCCCGCTTTTCATTTAGGTCAAGGTGGGGGAAGCAAAAAAGCCAAAGAAAATTACCGTTTGCATTTAGCGCTCTCCACACGGAGCAGGCAAACAGGCTATTCTGAGTTAGATGTTCCTGTAATCCCCCACGTGGAGCCCAACACAGGACAGACTGCGATTGTTCTGTGCAGACGGGGGCCAAGTGCAGCCGTCTCGGCCAGGAGTTACATGGAGGCTGCGTAACCTTAGTAGGTTTATTATCATTAAGCCCTTAAAGCAATGCATAAGAAACTGTGGATCTAACCGGAATTTTAATTTTAAACTACTGCATTGTAAGGAGAAAAGAGCGCGGTCTGATAGGTCAGAAGCGAAGCCAGGCTTCAGCGTTTGGATCGTGTGTTCGGAGATAACTTCTCCTTGACGTGCAACACCAGGGAGGTGAAGAAGCCAGAGGCCTCCGTTCTGACTTGGACTTTTACGTTTCTCATCAGCCCGGGCTCCCTGAAATTGTACGGCAGTTTTCCTTTGGCTTCGCTGGAGTGTTTGCCCGCGTTGGGCAGCGTATGCCTCGGTTCAGTACCGACTTGTGCTTGTCCCCTGTTACCAGTTCCCTGAATGCCTAGGAATGTCCATGTTAAAGTTGGCGCTAAGTAACTGCGTCGGTCTGTTTACAGGGGACTCACTCTGATAGAAAAAGCAGAGGAATTGTAACAACGGATAGAAAATCTTTCCACTGCTGTCCAGTGCAGAAAATGTTTGCATGCTCATGTGCCCGAGGAGGAAATACAGTGTGTCTAACGGGAGCATCCTCTCAGCCTGAATTGTACCCCTTAGTCCTCCTGATCAACACCAGCAACTGACCTGAGTATCCCAGCACACAGCCCTCCCCCGCCACCGGCCACCGGCCACCGTGTCACTGGAAACCACAGTCCGTGCTGTCACACTCGGATAGGCTCGGCCTTCACATCTGATTGAATTAGGAAGTTTCTAGAAACTGGTGACACTACCGCTTAGAAAGGTGGTTGCTGTCATTGGCTTCCTTGTCTCTGACAGGGTGACAACGGATATCCAGGGAAGAGGCCACTCCGTTGGGAGCTTTGACCTGCTAGGCACAGCTCCAACTCCGCTGTGCCAGGGCTGAGCCCCGGGAGGTCAGGGGCTGGTCTTAAATCGCTTTGTACTCCCACTGTCTGCTGTAATGCCGGCCACATAAAGGACGCCTGCTCAGTGTTCAGCGGGCCAGTAGTGCCCTTCTAGACTCATGCGGAGCTCCTGAGACCCAGGACGATGGACTGTGAGGAACACGGTGTCCAGGGACATCACGCTGTGTGCTGGGATGACACACGGGCTTGACTTGACCAGGGCTTACTCAGGGCCTGCACCACAGCGCGACACAGATTCCTGTCTCCCGAAGCAAACCCTACTGGCTGGCATTCCTCACAGTCTCCCTCTTGTTCTTTTCCATCCTCTCTGAGATATTCTCCCTTTAAGCCGAGTCAGGTTCCGCCTTTTAATCCCAGACCTGAACTTGGTTTTGCTGTTGTGACCTAAAGTTTACTTTCTCTGTTCCCAGTGCAGGGCTGACATGAGCACGTGCCCCACAGGCTGACGGCTGCAGTCCCACACCTGGAGACGTTCCTGCATGGAAACAGGAGCACAAATTGCGGAGATAAACCAAAGTGTTCCTCCCAGCAGTTCTGGCAATAGCTTCAAACTGCAAACAACCCAACTGTTCGTCAGAAGAGAAATGGTTGCCTAAGTGATGGTATTTTTTTTTTAAGATTTATTTATTTATTTGAAAGAGTTACACACAGAGAGAAGGAGAGTCAGAGAGAGAGAGAGAGGAATTCCATCTGCTGGTTCACTCCCCAGTTGGCCACAACAGCGGAGCTGTGCCGATTTGGAGCCAGGAGCCAGGGGCTTCCTCCAGGTCTCCTATATGGGTTCAGGGGCCCAAGGACTTGGGCCATCTTCTACTGCTTTCCCAGGCCATAGCAGAGAGCTGGATTGGAAATGGAGCGGCCAGGACTCAAACCGGCGCCTCTATGGGATGCCAGCACTGAAGGTAGCAGCCTCACCCACTACACCACAGTCCCGGCTTGTGATGGTATTTCAGTACAGTGCAATCACACCCAGCTGTTAAAAAGAATGACACAGACCAAGTGCTGAAGTGGGAAGACATAATTTTGGGGAAGGCCGAGTCAAAGCAGTACAGATCGCCTTTCGTATTTGCAGGCTTCCCAGCCATGGGTCAGAATATATGGGGGCCGGCGCCACGGCTCACTAGGCTAATCCCCAACCTGTGGCGCCGGTACTCTGGGTTCTAGTCCCGATTGGGGCACCGGTTCTGTCCCGGTTGCTCCTCTTCCAGTCCAGCTCTCTGCTGTGGCCCGGGAAAGCAGTGGAGGACGGCATGGGAGACCAGGAAGAAGCATCCAGCTCCTGGCTTTGGATCGGCGCAGCACGGCCGATTTTGGGGGTGAACCAAAGGAAGGAAGACCTTTCTCTTTGTCTCTCTCTCTCTCACTGCCTAACTCTGCCTGTCAAAAAAAAAAAGGGGGGGGGGGAATATATGGGGTGGGGGAGGAGTGCATATATGGAGTGCATGTGTTCAAGAGAAATCTGCTGGTTCATTCCCCAAACGGCCACACCAGCTGGAGCTGGGTCAGGCTGAAGCCAGGAACCAGGAACTTCCTCTGGGTCTCCCACGTGGATGCAGAGGCCCAAGCACTTGGCCCATCTTCTGCTGCTTTCCCACACTAGCAGGGAGCTGACTGGCAGTGAAACAACTGGAACTCTATCCAGAGCCCCTGTGGGATACAAGCATTGAAGGCGGCAGCTTCACCTGCTATACCATAATGCCAGTCCCTGAAAAAAAATTTTTTTTTTAATTTTCATTTTATTTGACAGGCAGAGAGAAAGAGAGAGAGAGAGGCACTCGCATCCGCTGGTTTATTCCCCAAATGCCTGCAAAAGCCAGAGCTGGTCCAGAGCAAAGGCAGGAGCCTGAACCTCTGTCTGGGTTCCTCATGGGTGCAGGGACCCCAGTGCCTGAGCCTCCATCTGCTGCCTCCCTGGGTGCACACCAGCAGGAAGCCGGATCTGAAGTGGAGGAGCCAGGGCTTAGACTGGGCACTCTGACAGGGAACGCAGGAATCCCAAGCAGTCGTTTAACCACTGTGCCGCATGGCTTTGGATTGACCTAGCCATTGTGGGCATTTGAGGAGTGAACCAGAGGATGAGAAATCCCTCTCCCGCTCCCTCTCTCTGTCTCAAATATTTTTTCCTAGGAAAATATTGCATTTGTAGTGCATTTATACACTTTAAAATTTTTTGTGTATACACTTTTTTCTTTGTCATTCCATAAACAATATAGTATATAAACTATTTACATAGTATTTATACTGAATTAGGTGTTATAAGAAATCTAGAAGTGATTTAACGATGCTGGAAGATGTCTGTAGGTTACGGGCACATTTCACATCATTTACTTAAGGGACTCCAGCGTCCTGGGATTTTGGTTTCTGAGGGAGGGCTTGGAACCAATCCCTGGGGACCCTAAGGAATGGCTGTACATCTGACACCTGCAGAATGGACAGTGGATGTGGGTCACTGCCTCCAGCCCAATCCTGGCTCTTTAAAAGCATCTTGCAGCCGGCGCCGCGGCTCACTAGGCTAATCCTCCGCCTTGCGGCGCCGGCACACCGGGTTCTAGTCCCGGTCGGGGCACCGAATTCTGTCCTGGTTGCCGCTCTTCCAGGCCAGCTCTCTGCTGTGGCCCAGCAAGTGCTTGGGCCCTGCACCCCATGGGAGACCAGGAGAAGCACCTGGCTCCTGCCTTCGGATCAGCGCAGTGCGCCGGCTGCAGTGCGCCGGCAGCAGCGGCCATTGGAGGGTGAACCAACGGCAAAGAAAGACCTTTCTCTGTCTCTCTCTCTCACTGTCCACTCTGCCTGTCAAAAAATAAAAAATAAAAAAAAGAAGCATCTCGCTTTTCCCTCCTGCTCCAGCGTTCTTCCCCGACTGTCCCTTCCTTATCTGCTGTGTGCTGGGGCAGAGGCCTCCCCTCGCCACCCCGGCCTTCTGCCAAGCCACATGACTCCGGACTCTGTTACTCTGTTTTATCATTTGTACAGCATCGCTCGTGATCTGAACTTCCTGTTCATTCTCATCTTTAATTTGCTTTCTATTTTTTTTTTAAAGATTTCTTTATTTATTTGAAAGTCAGAGTTACACAGAGATGGAAAGGCAGAGAGGAGAGGCAGAGAGAGAGAGAGGTCTCCAATTGGCCACAACGGCCAGAGCTGTGCCGATCCGAAGCTAGGAGCCAGGAGCTTCTTCCAGGTCTCTCACATGGGTGCAGGGGCCCAAGCACTTGGGCCATCTTCTACTGCTTTCCCAGGCCATAGCAGAGAGCTGGATTGGAAGTGGAGCAGCCGGGTCTCGAACCAGCGCCCATATGGGATGCCGCCACTTCAGGCCAGGGCGTTAACCCACTGCACCACAGTGCCGGCCTATAATTTTTTCTAAAATGCATTCAATAGGCACAGAGAGAGAGAGAGAGGAGAGAGCCCACCAAGTGGTTCACACCAAGAATGCCCACGTAGAGCTGGGCAGGGGTGGAGGCCAGGAGCTGGAACTCAGTGCAGGTCTCCTGCGTAGGAGGCGGAAACTGAGCCATGACTGCTGACTCCAAGTCTGGTTAGCAGGAAGCTGCAGTCGGGCGCTGGAGCTGGGACTTGAGGAGCCCAGGCATTGAAATGCGAGCCAGAAATGCCTCACTCTGGCATCTTCACGCCTTGCCAGATGCCTCCCCCCCTCCCGCCTCTTCCCTGCTGTCTCTTCCCACGAAAACCTTAGTCTGTTGCACTCCCTGCTGTGTTCTGAGCACGGGCAACATGGTCCAGCAGGGATAAGGTGCTCAGAAAACATTTGCCAAAGAAAGAAACATTCGCGTCTCTGGGTATTCTCAAATTTTCCCAGTGTGGGAAGACACATATTAAATAGTAGGTGTCAGGCTGATTTGCGGGATGGGATGGCAAGTGGAAAGAACCGCAGATGAGGAGAAGAAATTACAATACTGTGTTTGGGTTTTCCCCCAACACACTGGGAGTGGGGAGGAAGGGAAATCATTGTATTCTCAGAATTGTATCTGCGAACTATACTGAGTCTGTTGAAAACTAAAAGACTAAATAGATAAGAAATGCAAATTTTTTATTGTTGAGATGAAATCCATATAACAGAAAGCTAGCCATTCTACAGCAGCGTGGAGAACATTCAGGGTGCTGCGTTACTTAGTTCTGGAACACTTCCGTGTCCCCAGAAGGAAGCCCCAGACCCATGAAGCAGCAGCTCTCCCTCCCTCCCTCCCCTCTGCCCTGCTAAGCACTGCTCGGCTTTGGATCACTAGGATTCCCCTACTCTGCACATTTCATGTAAATGGAATCACTTGTATGGGTCTGTTTGGAAGAGGAAAATCCCAAGTCTTTTTTCCTAATTCTCCAGGCCCCTCCCTCTTCAACACAGAACACTTCCGCCTCTGGCACTAAGATGTAGGGGGGTTTCCCCAGCCATAACCCCCAACAGGATGTCCTATAGTTCAGCTCAGTCCCAACAGTGACCAGGGTTAGTGCAGCCCACCAGGCTGAGGCTCGAGCCCCCCGGATGACCCCCTCTCAGGTGCCCCTGTGCTCTGCCTGCCTGTGAACTGGGGGTCCTTCCACCCTATCCCTGGGTTTGACTAATTTGCTAGAGCAACTCACAGAACTTAGGGACACACTTTCTGTGTCTTTAGCATTTACCATAAAGGATATTACAAAGGATACTGAGAGGGCCTGGCACCATGGCTCACTTGGTTAATCCTCTGCCTTCGGCACAGGCATCCCATATGGGCCCCGGGTTCTAGTCCCGGTTGCCCCTCTTCCAGGCCAGCTCTCTGCTGTGGCCCGGGAGTGCAGTGGAGGATGGCCCAAGTGCTTGGGCCCTGCACCCAATGGGAGACCAGGAGGAAGCACCTGGCTCCTGGCTTCGGAGCAGCATAGCTCTGGCTGTTGCGGTCATTTGGGGAGTGAGCCAACGGAGGGAAGACCTTTCTCTGTGTGTGTGTGTGTGTCTCTCTCTCACTGTCTGTAACTCTACCTCTCAGATAAATAAAAAAAAATCTTAAAAAAAAATTGCAAAGGATACTGAGAAACAGCCCGGGGAGGCGAGGCACAGAGCGAGGGGTGTGGCAGGCTGCTGTGCCTTGCCTGGCGCCTCCCTCTGGGAACCTCCACGTGTTCACTGACTCGGAAGGCCTCTGAACTCTGTCCTTTGGGACTTTCATGGGGTAGGCATGACTGGTGACATCCCGGGCCATTGCTGATTACTTCAATCATCAGAGGTTGTGGGGTGGGGCTGCAAGTTCCAGTCCTGGCCGGATCTTTCTGGGGACCAGCCCCCCGCCAGGAGCCCTTCAAGAGCCACGTTGAGAGAACACAGGTGTTCCCAGCACCCGGGAAATTCCAGGGGGTGGGGAGCCCTGAGTTAAGTACCGGGGTCAAACATCAAGCGTTAGAATGAAGCACTCACCTCGCACCCCTACCGCTCAGCAAATCCCCTGTGCCAGGGACTAGGGACAGATGCTAAATATGACTGTCTTCTCACATGATGATCTCACAGCCACGTTTTGTGCAAGGCCTCTTCCACTTAGCATCACCTTTTCCGGGCGTGTCCTCCTTTCTGTGACTTAATAATAATATTCCACTGGATGGATAGACCACAGTT